ACAGTCGCTTACAGCAAGATGGCTTGGCAAAAGATGATTCATGATGGCAAAGATGATTCAAGGCAGATCTTAAAGGGTTAGTTCACACAAAAATTCTGTCATCATTTACTCACCCTTGTGTCGCTCCAAACCCATAAGATTTCTGTTCATCTTCAGAACAAAAATTAAGATATTTTTTTAATATTTCCTCACCATTTGTGTCTATCCATTGGAAGTATAGTTTCAAAAAACATCATAAAAGTAATCCATATGAATCAAGCAGTTTAATCCAAGTCTTCTTCAGAGAATTGATCGCTTTAAATGATGAACAGATTTAATTTAGGCTCTTATTCACATAATTGATCAACGCACATACATAGCGAACATCAAATATGGTCAATGGAAGCTCAAACTTGATGATTGCTTGATGCACTGGAATATGTCAAGTATGTACGTTTGAGCTTCCTTTGATCATTTTCAATGGATGGCCAAAAAAATTAGGAGAGAATATTAAACATACCTTCATTTGCATTCTGAAGATGAACGAATGGGTTTGGAACAACATAAGGGTGAGTAAATGGTAACAGAATTCTCATTTTTGGATGAACTAACCCAATCAGAGGGACGTCATGAGCTTTTATTTCCTGGATTGAACGTAATCCTATTTCTTCATAATAGTCTATGTTTCCTTGAAGGCAGTGAAGAAATCCAAGCGTTCTATTTGTTTTCCTTTGTCAGAGTTTTACTACCAGAGCACTTCTGAAAACACTAGATTTCTGTGATGGAAGCAAGTGGTCGATGGACGGAGAAGCCCAAGGGAGAGAAAGGCTTTGCCTGTGTAAATAAATTACCTGTATCATTGATTCATTTATAGATTAATTCAGTATGAGCTGCATCAGCTGTGACGTTCTGACTTTGATTGATGAGTTGTGGAAAGTTCTTTGGGGAAAAAAATAAAAAGGGAAACATATTCTGCACCAACTCAGTATTACAAAAATTCAATTTCTGGCTTGTCCTTGGAAATCAAGTAATAGCTAATGTTCCAAATAGGAACTATGGGCCCTGCTTTCTGTGGATCTGCCCAACTAAGTGCTTTTGACACTTTAACGAAGATCAAATAATCAGCCAATGATGGCCAAAGCAGTGCTCTTTCCTTTCTCTAATTGACTGTGGCAGGGCCAAAGTCTTTACATACATTTATGATTTCACCGCAGGTGAGTCATGATGGAGCCGCGTAATCATATTAAAATGGTGACAAACCGTGTCATATCCCACATTTCCTACTGTTCAGGTTTCTCTTCATAAAGTTTTTAATCCCATGGCACATGATCAAAAAAAAATGTATTGCCCCATTTGTTTTTGTATATTGCCAAAAATATATGATCAGTGTACCCAAAATGTACATGGAAATTGCAAAATTGAAAATGTATTTTCTTGCCCATTTGAATAAATTTGGCTAAATATGTTTCAAGTGCTGATTATCACATTATATTTAGAACTACTCTCTTGGCATCAAAGGTTGCATTGCTGCGAAGATCTCACAAATACTTTCATCATAACTAACAGTAAAATCAAAATGTAAATAAGAGACTGGTTTAGCCGTGTAAAGTGTGTCATTGATTATAATGGGAGTTTTTACGAAAATTCACAAATCCGATCACTGATGGACAGATCACTGGTGATGATTTTGAAAAAGGTACTATTGTTCATTGTTAGCTTATAATGCTAATAACTAAGGTTACCGTTCCTTACATTAAATACTTATTTTTATTGTTTTTGCCTTTAATTTGATAGGACAGTGTAGAGAGGACAGGAAGTGAAATGGGATCGGGAAAGATCCGCAAGCCAGGACTCGAACTCGGGACGACCGAAGCGTGACCAAAGCGCAACCGCGCCGCATGTCGACGCGCTGCCCACGAGGCTATTGGCCACGATAACGTTCCTTATATTAATACATTTTTAACTTTAATGTTTAAAGTAATGTATTAGTATACATAGAAAGAAACATTTAACAAGATTAATAAATGCTGTAAAAGTATTGCTCTTTTTAATTAGTTAACTATTTTGTATAGATTTTTTTAATACTACCAGTTAAATTAAAACAAGTAAAAAAGTAACAGTGACATGGTGTAAACTCAAAAAGTACCACATTACCCAGAGTGATTCTAAAAACAACGCAACAAACATTTAATACAAAAAGGCAAATGTGGAAATAAGAAAGAACAGTATTTGAAATAGTAAAACTCATTATTGAAGCAGAGAGGCAGAGGTTTCTCATCACCTTTCAGTTCATTACTTTCCGACAGATCTGTTTACCTTTGCTGGACTGACATGAACGATAACGAGCTAAAATGATGGTGTGAAAAATGGGCAGAGCATCAATCAATACGAGAGCAGAGACATTGTGCCATAATTTCCAGCTAAATTACTCCACCCGCTTGCTAGGCGGTGAACTGCACTTTGTTATGTTATGAATCAAAGCCAAATGAGATTAATGACTGTGAGCGCTGAGTTAATGTTCCTGTGTGAGAGTGATGAGGGTCTGCTGATGCCTCCATATAGCTGCAATGCAGGAACATGAACAAAATTGTAATGAGCAAAATGATCATCACTGTGCTTTAAATGCGTCACAACATCAACAAACTGAGTGACATAGATTTTGTTGACTTGCAGGTCAGATATAACTGCTGTTTTGGTTGTCTTGCATACCATGATTATACTGCAGCCAAAGTTATGTTTGGAAATGATTGTGACATCATTACCATTCCCAAATGCAAGATTTTTTTCTGTTTCTCACACAACGCTACTGCATAACATCAGACTTGGAATGTAGTACACAAAATGTATAGATTACTTTAAACTTTAATGGTGCTTTTGTGTCTTTTTTGATGCGGGAAAACTTCAGTCCCTGTTCATTGTAAAAAGCATGGAAACAGAATAAAGAAAGTCATGCAGTTTTGGTACAGCAAATGACAACAATTTTAATTTTGGGGTGAACTATCCCTTTACAAGTAGGAAGTTTATCATTTCACCAGACATTTGATTAAAAATCACTATTTTTTTAGGTAAAAAAATAAATAAATCTATATGAATGAAATGTTCACAGTAAGATCAATAACATGCATTTAGAAACAGCTAAATGTGAATTTTCATTTCATGCTGACTTTAAGGGTAAGTAAATCTGAAATTGATGATACCACAATAATAGGCAATAATTAAGTGACATAAATAAATAAACAACTTCAGTGAGTTTTTGCCATTTTTGTGTGCAATATGCATTAAATTTTCTCTGACGCGTTTGTGGCTGAGACTAGAGCATGAAGAGAGCTTCCATATCTGCACAGCCTAAAGCAGCTGATTAGAGGAGACAGCTCAATGAAGCTCAAACCAAATCAGACTGCTTGATTAATTTATCCGCTGATAAACGCCTCCCTCCGTTCACATCAAGTCATCTGTCTGCACGAGGAAAAGACATCACAATCCAGACACATGTCCACAAAGATTTAATCACCCTCATTCTGACTTAATTCAGTATTGTAGAGTTGCCCCAAAAACAATTTGGAAACCTTCAGACCCACTTAAACAAGTCTGAATGGTTATTTCATAAGAAATCATATCAAAGCAGGTCATTTGCACTTTTGCATAACTTTTCTGAGCCATTTTTGCAAAGGATTACCATGTTTTTTTTTGTTTGTTTGTTTTTCACTAGTAAAAATTTAATTTGGGCTACTTAATTGCAATGAAAGTGACTTGTAGTGTAACCTTAAAAAGTATATAAAAAATCTGCTTGTAGATATTGTAATATTAATGAAATCAAATATAAAATAAAATATATAACATTAAGGATTACAAGTTTTAATAGTTTTCATGCTTTAAAGTAGAAGTAAAGAAGTACACATGTACAGTAAAATATTTGATTATAATTTTAACTGTAGTCTAGCATTTGATATTGCATTTAAAGTTATACAAACATACTAAACATATTTTAAATTAAATAAATTGCAACTTCATCATTACAAATGTCATTACAAATACATTTAAATATATTACATAAATATATATATTGAAATAAATATATTACATATATTATCATTTTTAGTATAATGACATTCAATTATTAATTTACCATAATTGCTTGTCAGTACAATCGGCAGTACACTTTAAACATAAATTAAAGAACAAATAAAATGATTATTTAAAAGTAATTATGAAATGATATATAAAGACGTATGCAAGTCCTACTTAAATGGGCCGACAAATCAGCTCATGTTCAGCAAACTGAATTTAATATAAATTTAAACCTTGTAAATTTTCATTTAATTGCAATTAACATGCAATTAACTGTCTAAGTAGTGAATTAAGTATCTCTTTTTTAAAGTACATTATTTTTGTAATAAGTACACAAGTGTACTTCTTTTTCACAAGGGTTAGTGGATGTATGATATAATTTCTCAAGTTCACACAGGTGTCCGTGCAGATGATCAAACCACACATTTCACAACCACAAAGTGTCACAATATTTTTTGTCTCATTTTTAACACTATATCTATTATTTCAAACCTATTTTTTAATGTTTTGTTTGAAAAGTATGCTGATGCTTTCTTCAAAATAAATTCCACTTATTACGATTATGTCATCTAAAGTTATTACATGCAATCAGACAAGACATTACTATATGTTCAGATCATTTTTGCAGTCACTGTACTTGGAAACTGTTACCTCTTTAAACCAAAACCTCTTTGTTTGGGTTTCAGGAAGATCTTGATTCTCAAATATTTTAAATTCAAGACTTTGAAAAAAAAAAAAACAGAATCAATACTTTCGTTTTACCTTGAAGAGGAAATTAGCAATGCACAAGCCTGTATTTCACTGCCACTCTGAATTGATTATGTGCACAATGAGAATTATAGTACGTTTGTGACTCAATGCTGAGATAATCTCTGCAATCGTATCAGATAATGGGCAGATAAAGGAAGAACCGCAATAGAGGAAATCAAATGTCTGCTGATGAGAGCACTTACTGCTGATCCACTTAGCGTTCGGGTCATGAACTTTGAAGTCTTTCTTGAAGATTTCTTCCACTGTAACTTTCCCCTTAAAGGCCAGGCTATCGTCCTCACCTATAGGGAGAAAATACAGAACAGAAAAGACTTTTAGCTAGTGATGGGAGAAACAAAGCTTTCGAAACTTTGAACTAACTAAACCAATTGCTTCACAAAATGATTCACTGTTTTGAAGCTCTAGAAATGCCTGCGTGACGCCTGCTGGTGAGAATGGTGTAAATGTAAGGTAAACTCAAACATGCATCAAAAACCAAACAACAAATCACAAACCAACTGCAAATGTTTTTTTGTTTTTGTTATCTTTTTTACTTTAATTTCTTATATGTAATTACAAATAATCTAATACTACTAAATATGAAGTGTCTGTATTTGTTTATTAAATTGTAGGACTTGTTTGTTTTATGGAGAGTTTGGTAATTGGGCCAATAAGAGACTATTAACCATAACTCTTCCTTTTTATTATACAAATGTGTCATTAAAATATCTATGAATTTATTAAATTGATCAAAGATCAGTAAAAAATAAAAATAAAAAAATCATACACTGTGCCCATATACAGGGGTGTTAAGTAACGAATTACAAATACTCACGTTACAGTAATTAAGTAGTTTTTATCAGTAATTGTACTTTTTTGAGTAGTTTAAAAATGGTGTACTTTTACTTTTACTTGAGTACATTTTAAGTGATGTATCGGTACTTTTACTCCGCTATTTTCCTCCGTTTGTGGTATGAAATTTTTTTTTTATCCATTTTATACAATCCGCCTTAATTTAGCAAGTGCACTCGCGCATAACCAATTTTCAAGTTCAACACTTTTTGTTCCGTTCAGTTGTGGATGCTGCTGATTCACCGAGACTGCCGCGGCTCAGCAAAGAGACATGCGTGTGTGTGTGTGTGTGTGTGTGTTTTTCTTTGAAAAAGTTTCTCCAGAAATACTTCGCTATTTATTGC